AGAGCAGGCTTGGAGGGGTCATCCCCTGTCCCCCTGGATGGAGGATGACAGGCAGTTTTTTGGAGAGAAGCAGAGCTTAGAGGGGGAGGACTCTTGGAAGAGGAGATTTGGGAGTTTTGGGGAGATTCTGAGAAGACAGGAGCTAGTGTAAACTAACTCTTATTTAATCATTTTGAACTAATTCCTCCTTGGGGGATAGCAGTTGTTTTTTATTTACCCATTTTTGTATTTTGATTTTGTAATAAACCTTTTTTTGAAAAAGAAACATAATCCTGATTCTTTCAGGTTTTCTCTAAAGCTTCACGTTTGGAGCCCTGGCCATAAATTGCACAGAGGTAAGCATATCGATGATCGGTCTCTGAATTATCGGGACTTACTTTACAGTTTATAATGGAATAATATAAAGAAACCTTAAGATAAGGGAAGTTTTAACTTCCCCCTCCTTGCGAGTAACGAGTTGTCTTAAGGGCGATAAAAGCAGAATATTCGAGGTTATTTTGGCTCTGATTGCAGGTTGAAAAAGTCTCTAATCAGCTGGAAGGTTGGATTAATAAATAAATTGATAAACTTATGATAGCCTGATCAACTAGCATAAATCATTTTATAGTTACCCACCTCCCACATAAGCTGTTAGAGGCGCAATTAATTCCGGGTAACCCAAACAATTGCTGAGAGGCTTGGCTTGCCTCCAGACTTCTCTCTAGTATCTTAACCAAAAGGTAACGAGTTTAAAAGAAGTGTAGTACTCTGGGGCTGGCTATTCGTGCAAGTCATTTCACCTTTAAAATAAAAGACAAGATTCTAATTAGATGGTCCGAACCAGGGTATAGTACAATTATACTCGCCGACATCCCCTCGAACCCTGATGGATGCACCGTCTCATAAGTTCTAACGGAACTGGGTTTTAAAGGAACCGGTATATGGGACGGGCACGCGACACTAACAAATATAGTTAAATCTTACCTGCATTCTAAATAAATACCGTTAGGTGGAAACATCAGTAGGCATTGAGTTATTGATAAAATCCCTAACAGCCAGAATGGAAGAAGAGCATGCTGGGTCATCCTGGATCTGAGCCTGTTCTGTGTATTTACCTACAGGATGCAATAAATGTCTACAAGGCTGAGTTTGGACCATTGCATCTAAAAGAAAACATACAATGTGATTTTTTTATTGTTTACATTAATATACAAATTTTCTAAGTATTAACCTCACAGCAAATAAGTAGAACAATATAATAAACAGGCTTTAGTAGTTAAACAGGCGTTGTGCACACAGGTGCTTTGTGTCTCGGTGCTGGTGGTGTCTAGGTCTCAGAGTTCCTGTCCTCCTGCCGTCTTCTGTTGTCCTCAGGATACGGATTGATGTTTCCTGATGATGAGGGAGGGGCAGTATGTGGGCTTCAAATTGGTCCTGGATAACAGTGGGAGACCTCCGTTGTCTGAATACTGAGACCAGAGAGTTGGTGAGATGCAGATCTTCTCTACCTCATCTAGAAACGGAGTTGGTTCAGGGAAAACTTTTCCAAAGACCAGTTCCATGATGTCATAGCCATATTCTGCAATGATAGACAGTAACTTTAATGACATATTTTGTTTACAAGCAGCTTTAGGAAAGTTGTTTCTGTAGCTTTCATGTTTATAGTCACGTTTGTGTTTGTTCACAAGTTCACTTTGCTGCAGTGACTTCATATTCTTACAAATGTAATAAAATAGTGACACTAAAATTATACAAATGACTCCTTATGAAAGGAAGCTCATTAGAGAGCAGTGCAGACAGACCTACTACATGCTGCAGCTGTTTTTGTAGGCCAGCTGCTGCTGAATTTGGGGAAAGTTATTCTGCACACATCCAGATCAGATGGTCGATTACAGAAAATAATGTAATTCAATAATTTCTAAACAGACTAAACAAGTAAAACATCAAATAAATCACTCTGCTGTCATCAGACGGAGTGATTCAGGGGGTGAGGTGTTCTTAAAGAGCGGGTCAATTGAGCCTCGGAGTCCTTCTCCACCCACGTATCAATTTTAAAAAATGCAACATTAGTAGGCGTTGCCTGGAGGACCGAGAGGGCGGAGCCGCGGCAGTGACGAAGACGACGGCTAACTAGACGATGCTAGCTCCCTTCACTCTATGCGGTTATTAGAAATGGAGGACGTTTCTCCCCCTCCTTACCCAGACACTCGAGAAGAAAGGGACCAAGTCTATTTGGAGGAGACAAGCGGACCTGAGCCTTATTGTTGTGAGCTTGTGAGTTGCCTGTAACTCCCAGAACCGAACCAACAGAACCACCTCTGAATGTAAGTAGCCATTAGCCATAGCATCAGATTAGCTGCAGGGTTTGTCTCCACGGCCCTGGAGAGCTAGTATTCAGCATGTTTTAGAGGTTTATCTGCTTCAGCACACCTGGTTTTAATCAGCAACAAATAGCTGAGCTGCTTAACAGTTAAGCTAACATGTTAAAGCAGGAAAATCCACTGAAACGTGCTGGATAGCAGCTCTCCGGTAGCCCTGGGCTCAAGTTACAGTCTGCTGCATAAAGTTATGAAAATACCCCATGAGAAAATTATTCTGTAATGTGTTCAGCTCACTAAAACTGCCCTGATTTATTTATTTACTAATAACAGCTGCTCTCTTGGTTCTAAGTCCTCTGGTGTCTGCAGCTGGTCTCCTCTGCTGGTGTCGTCAGGATCAGGAGCTTCCAGAAGACTGTGCCTTTCAATGACTCTTTCCCCCTTATTTGTTATATTAATTAAATAAATCTCAATTTATATATTTCCTGTTTTTTTCATGTCCATAAATACTTAAACATGCTTGAAATTAAAACGAGCTTTTAACAGTGAGGTGCTAGTTTAAATCATCACAATAGAGCTAGTTAAACATGCAATGTGATAATTCAATTAATGTAATTTATAAATATCCATTAAAATATCAAAACTGGAATCTATATGAGATATTTGGCAGCACAAAAAAACTTGTCAAACACAATATTTATTATAATAATTGTAGGCAGACAGGAGACAGAGCTGATGGAGGTTCTCAGTCATCGAAGGATGGCTGAAGGCTTTCCAGGAACAGGAGATGTGGTGTTGTCTCTTCTCTCTCTATTCTGCCAGATGAGCTGATGGGTTACAGGTGTGTGAGGACATCCTCATGCTGTCATAACCAGATGACAGGAGTTATCAGGTGATCAGCCAGGCTAATGATGAGATGCAGAAAGAAAACAAATTCAGGACAGTGTACTATATGTGGTGATGCTCACCTTATGTGCTGTTATAGAGTTATTAACGTGTGCCTGCCTCATGTTGTAGAGTCCATATTTTGCTGAGTGTCCTGCAATAATGCAGGTTATTAGTTAATTTACTTTTGATGGCAAAAACAAAATATTTAATGTAAAAGTTGTTTTCCAGGTGAATCAGCTCACACGTCACCACCAAGTGTCACAGGGGCAGAATCAGTAGCCTCCGTCATGATGTAATCACATACTTATTTAATTGTTAATATCTTAAAAATTCTGAAATGTTTTAATTTTTTTTTACCTTGAACAGTTCGCTGAGCTTGCACTGTCACTGAGGTGGAAGCTGGAATCAACAGCAGACACCTCACATCTTGGTCTTTTCAGGGGGTGCGACCGCTGCTCTGGGACTTTCTGGAAGATGAATTTTCATCATGGTCCCCGTGGGTCACCAGACACACTGCGGCTGAGAACTCCATTCTGGCTGGCTATGTAAAAACAAAGAAGCAGCACATTTATAAATGTTTAAAAGAGCATAAAATCACGTGTAACAATAATCTGTAAAACAAATTAAAACTAGAAGGTAATAATAAAATGTTTACATAGAAGATTATTAAAAATAATTCACCTTTGCTACAGGTAAGGCTTCACGTCTGCCTGGACAAGTGCATTCTTGCAGCTAAATCAGTCTGACAGCCAGTGTCTTGGGTAGATTTAGCCTGAAAAAAAAATAAGCACGTTGTTGTTGGGAGTTTATAAAGTCAGATAATATACAAAAGAATCTCCTATATAGGTGCTTTATAACATTCCTAGTGTGTGATCGTTATAACGTAAAAGTCAGTCACACATGATGTGGAGAGCCTGAAATGTGACCTCCTGAACAGAATTCCTCACGGAACCGGGTCACGCTGTGCTGGATTTCACGCTGTAATGCTGTCTGTCAACTAGTGCTGTTAGTTAGAGCCACTGTTGCAGAATTGCCGACTGACTAGCTAAAGGAAGTGAACCACGTCTCTCAGACTTTGCATTTAGGTAGGGAATTGTCTTTAGAAGATGTTAAAACGTTTATTTAGCTTACTCACCTCAGACTGGAGCCCGCCGTGGTAGGGGAGCAGAGTCGGTGGGCTGCATCTAAATCGCGGAAGAGCCATCCATGGTGGGCAGCCTCCCTCTTCAAACGGAGACGTGCAGAATCGCGGGTAAAATGCCCACAGAGTCACCACAACCATACTACACTACACCTACTCACCAATACTAACACGATATGGAGCACTAAACCCGAACTACTTTCCCAATTACACTAACAGCCAAACACTAACTAAACTACAATATCCAACAGCCAAATCTAACACTAAATAAGTATTTATAACACTAAAAGATATGCTAAAGACTAGGATATGCTAATGCTATATGCTAATGCTGAACTACCGCTGACCTCCTACGCTCGCTTGCAAATCCAACTCCCACACGCCACAGGGCGTGGCCGAGACGCTCGTTGCTTTTATAACTTTGGCACGGAGCTGCTACGTAGTACTCTACTGGTTTACGTAGTACTTTACTCTTTAGCCATTGGCTAAAATTTATTCGAAATGACTCAAATTCTATGTTTTCAGCTGAAGGTGGCGCATTACTGTGGTTTTTAGACAGAATTTTTAATTTTTAAAGAAAATGCACCAAAATGCTAAAATAAAGAATGCACACATTTAAAACACTATTAGACACTCATTTATGCAGCTCATCAGCAAAAAAAGTTAATTTAGACGTTACTTGCTCTTTAATGATGAGGGTGGCTGAGGTGTGTCATCACTCACTTTGGTCTGGTCCAGCTACCATCTCTTTACTGGTGGGTCTCCTTCCTCAGTAGGTGACGTGAAACGCCAACATCTGAACGTTCTGTGTTCCTTAGAGGAGAAGAAAAGTAACATTTGCAAGCTGGCTAAATTATTTTTTACTAGCATCTCAAGGACTTAGAGAAGCAGATCTTCACTTACCTAAACATCAGACCAGTTTGTCCCTGCTGAGCTCATCAGGGCTTTAGTCTGACAGCCTGTCAGTGAAACACGGCTCCAGTCTTCTGGATGTTGACTCTAAAAAGCAAAGGAGCATTTTTACTTTTGTTTTAATTATTTTACAGCCGATTTTATCAGCTTTCCGACGCTCACGCTCATACAGACGGTGAGCTTTGCTGCGTCTGACTGATGCAGAGTTAGTTTTTATATCTGCAGTGAGACAAAAAACTAACCTCACTCCACTCAGAGATCGTTCTTTAAAACTCTATTAAATCCACTGTGTTGACGCACTTTAATGACTTTGTCACGCTGCATTTTAGCTGATATGGGACTTTATTTACTGGATGCTAAGATTACATCACACTCACGTAGAATAACACACAGGCTCTCTGCTGTTACAATCAGTGGGAGGTTATCATCTGGTGTAAAAGAAGGCGTTGATCAGAAATCACGTTTTATTCCACGAAAATCAGCCAAATCCACATTAATCTGGGTGCTAACTTTACTAGCATACTGTGCTAGCGATAGCAAGCCGGATGCTAACGCTTTAGTGCTGCTAATGCCCGTAAATCTAAAGTAAAGTTTGTTGACATTTTAGAGTGAAATGAAGCTTACCGCTCTGCTGCTGTGTCCCGGTGCTGCCACATTCAGATGGAAATGACTCCTTTTAGATAGATGAAGCCCTCAGTACTTAGCCACTAGCCTGGAGACAGAACGAACGAACCGCGCGCGCACGCACACACACGCACACACACACACACACACACACACACACGCACGCACACACACACACACACACACACACACACACACACACACACACACACACACACACACAAACAAACACACTACTTTTTCTTGTGTTTTTTTAGCAGTAGTGTCATCCGCTCCTGGGTTTATGCACACCACCCTTCCTTAAAACGAGGAACAGTTTTGAGCTGTGTGTGGCTATAACCAGACATTCTGCATTTTTCCAATAGGACTACAAAAAATCTTAGCGAGAAGAAAAAATGGCGGATTGGCTCTGTGTTTAGCCGAGGGTCATTACCATATTTGGTAGTTATCCTGACGAAATAAATTACTGATGTAATAGATAATGTGAAAAACTGAACGGGTGGACAAATATGCCCAAAACTTAATTATTAAATATCTAAATAGCAACTCCAGTGAATAATATAAACCTTTTTGCTCACTTAGACACTTAAAATGTGAAACACACTGTGTTAATGGATAAAAAAGTGGGTTTTTCATGTTATGTCTCCTTTAACTGTGATGAATAGTAAATCCATGACAGGAAAAACCCCTCAACTAGAAAACTGTTGATTTTATGTGACGATGCCCTGAATAAATTAACTGGTGATGTAATTTGTACATTTTTCCTTTGAAAAAAAAATACACGAACCTATAGGTAATACTGTGTAAATATATAACACTGTAAAACACTCTTACATCGTTTTTTTATTGACAAATGTCCATAACGGCCTAACACAATGATTATTACATTTATTTATTTAAAAAATCCAGGGCCCTCATTCATAAAACATTTGTAGAAACTGTCCTGTGTTAACTCTTACGACCGGAATTTAGACTGCTCGTACGAACAGTCAAATGACTGATTTATGCTGTGACCTCTCGTATGCACGTTCCTCCGCAATCGTCTGATGATAAAACACACCTGTGGACAGAGGTTCTTGTCAGAAATAAATAAAAAAATGGATTTGATAAATCATACAGTAACAGGTTATCATTTACATTTAAGGAGTCATTCTGTTTGGAGTTAGGTTCATTTGGAAATGTCTGAGAGTGCAGCCTCAGCCTTTTCTGAGCTATCATTCAGTCTTATTGATGGGGGAGCAGAGGAGGTTCTGGGTGGTTCTCTGGATTAGATTTGTGAGGTTTGTCTGTCACGCTACAAAGTGTCCCATGTCATACAACAGCAGAAGGATTTCCTAGTGCGCTCACAGATAACACATTAGTCATGATATAAGCTCACTTGTCTGTTATTGGTTTCAGCACCAATTATGCACAAAAGCCATTTTTCCACCAACATAACTACTTCCCAGCAAACATTCGGACGTTTAATCAACGTTGAATAGACGTCGGGCCGACATGTTCTGTCGGTCCCATCATGGTTGAAAAATAGTTCCAAAATGAAAGTTGAACCAACGTCTTTTCTGGATGTGAATTACACGTCTTTTTTGCATGTGAATTACACGTAACAATTATACATATAATCACAAATTTGAGTGGATTTTTAGGAAATGTTATGTTAATTTTTTTTTTATAATTTGGACAGTCCTACCACGACCATTTTTGACCGTGGACACCGCGTCTCTGCTGGACCAAAGTTTTGCAGGGTCCTACCGCGACTATTTTTGGCCATGGACACGACATTGCCGTCGGACCTGCTGGGATGTTATGCTGAACTAAACGTAACTAATTGTCTAAATAATAATTACACATATAACTGTAGGCATGTACAAATGCATCTGAATGGATTTTTAAGACTTTTTTATTTATTTATTTTTATTTTTTACAAATTTGGGCCATCTTACCGCGACCATTTTTGGATGTGAACACCACGTCGGCGTCGGACCAATGTTTGTTGGGTTACTGGGTCAATATAAGTTGAGGATGAGGAACATGGTGGATAATTGAGACCTTCATAATTGGTGTTCCCCTGTTCTAGAATGTAGTCCTTCAAGACTGTTGGAAAACCGGTTCATTCGTTCCATCTGGCCGGAAGACTGGGGCCGATAACCAATGTGGAAATTGGCCTTGACACCCAACATCCGCCAAAGATGTTCCATTCCCCCCAGAGGTGAAGTGAGTTCCCCTATCCGAGTTAACACATTCGGGGAGACCGAACCGGGAGAAGATGTGGTTCATCAAGAGGACAGCAGTTGTCTGAGCCGTGTCGTTAAGTGCCGGCAAACATTCAACCCATTTGGTGAATGCACAGGTCACGGTCAAGAAGTATTTGTTACCTCTGCTGGACTTGGTCAGGGGCCCCACCCAATCAAATTGCAGGTCCGACCACGGTGTGGACGGCCCCCTGCTCTGAAGAGGAGCTCTGTGGATGGGGTTAGATGGTTGAAATTGACAGCAAACCAAACAGCTCTAGGTGTAGTCTGAGATGTCTCGACGCATCCCCGGCCAAGAAGCAACCTGGCTCAGGGCACCAAACGTGGCCTTGACACCTTTGTGCCCAGATGAAGGAGAATCATGAGCTTGTGCCATCATTACCCCCCCCCCTAGGGACTGTGGTGCCACAAGGACAGGCGACGACAGAGGCTTGGAGACGTGCATTAGCAACCCTTCAACCATCCTCAGCATGACACGAACACGAAAGAGAGCACGAAGCTCAGGAACAGAGTCAATCTCGACAGAAGAAGGCAGATGAGCTGTCGGATCAGAAAGGTACAGGATCATCCTGCTGATAGCAGGATCCTGGGAATGGAGGCTGGCAAGGTCGTTTTCAGAAAAGACGGGTTTAACAGACACCAAACCCTCGGATGGTTGAGGGGTGGACGCCTTAGCGGCCTGAGATCGAGTCACGACACACACATTGGGTGGGTCTGACCAAAAGGACACACCGTCAGGGAGCCACAAGAGGTTGAAGGACCATGGGGTACCAACAGCTACACCTTGTTTGGCAAGAGTCTGCAAGATCATTCAGATCCCTATCAGTTCCAGGTGCCCGAGAATGACCTTTGACCTTACGCCAATAGATCTGCATGTCATGTGATGTTATCAATAGATCTGGGCGCTCTCGGAGTGTGGTACTTGAAGAGGGCCCAGGTTCGTACGGTCGCGTTAGTTGAGGCTGTGGTGGAAGCTTAGCTGCGTTGGACACCAGACAGACACACGCAACTAGCCAAAGATACTTTGTTAGTCCTGAAAACTGAAACAAAGAATGTTTAAGACCGTAGACTGGTTCGCAAGGGGTCGGCTCAGGTGAACTCTCTGGAGGGCCTTCGGTCGACGCGGAGGTGCAGTCAGAGAGATCAGGGTCAGCCAGTAGTGGTACAGGGTGACAGTCAACCCCCCCTTTGGTAGGTGGGTCACCAACCTCATGGCTAGAGGTCACCAGCGCCAGCTGTATTGGAGCAGGGTCAGTGATGTCATCAGCCCCCCCTGCGGCAGGTGGCGTCCCCACCGCAAGGTACTGGGCTTCAGCCGGAGTCTCAGCGCCACCATCAACTCCCCCATCGGCAGATGGTGTTCCCACTGCAGGGTGCGGAGTCTCAGGTGGAGGTGGAGTGTCACTGCAACCGTCAACCTCATCTGGAGCAGGTGGTTTTTCCACCCCAGGATGAAGTGATCCAGCTGCAGCGACGACGCAGACTCTGCGGGTGTCACTGACCTTGGAGGCTGTGGACAGACTGGCCACCCTCAACACATCAGAGGATGGCTCTGATGGAGGCATTTAACTCGGCACGGAGCATACAATTTTTCCACGCTCAGGGTCAGGAGGCAAAACGATGGGCGGGGGTTCTCCACCACCCGACCAAAGTCCCCTCTTTTCCAGATCGAAGAAAGCTTCAAAAGGCCAGCGCCGAGGATCAAAGGAATGGCACCATGCTCACAGATGAACACAGGGTGCTCCAAAGTCAGAGTGACCTAGATGACAAGATCATGTCAGAAGGAGAGAAAACATGCACAGTCACTGCACAAGGAAACAGTTCTGGAGGTTGTACACCTCCCCCTGTACCCAGGCAGAGGCGGTTGAACGTAGACCGGCAAATGATTGTGTAATCTGAACCAGTATCCAGGAGGGCATTGCACCGGAGCGTATGGCCCACTTGCACGCACGCCATAGGCTTACAGGCCCTCCTGTGAGACAGGAGGTGCCCCAAGAACAGTTTGGCGGGCTCGACACCAGGGGGTGCCGGACCATCGTTACCTGAGGATGAATCAGTCATCAGTTCAGCTGGAGCAGAGATTTGGTCTACTTCGTGAAAATCAGAGTCAGATGACTCGTTATCTGGCTGCAGTGTCTCTCCCACATCTGAAAGAAGATCAGCAGAAGAAAGGGTTAAAACTTTCCCAAAATAGTAATCATTCTCCAGAGCCTGGACTCTGTCATCCAGATTTTGGATTTTCTGGTTTATATTGGAGAGCTGCTGCTGAATGTCTCCTTTCATTTCAGTTAGAAAATCCATCAAAAGTGTATCTCTATTTACAGCCATCTTGGAGATGCCACAGAATGCTTAATTTTGTTTTAAATTAAGTGTAAACTGGACTTAACAGCTTTTGTAGAAGCTGTTAACTGAATTTAATGGCTTTGGTGAAAGTGCCGGATTAAAACACACCAGTAGATGGTGGAACCGGATTGAGGAAGGAATCTGGTCAGAGGATAGGTGCCACGAAGCTCTTCCTGTCCCCTGACGCCCTCAAAAAAAGGACTAGCTTGTCAGCTGGTATTTTATCGGCATGAAGTCAACGATAATTAAAACCACAAAGTAAGTCCTGGAGGGATTTGAGTGAAGACGCTGGTTCGCTGCGGCAGATTGTTGATAGAACCTGAAGAAGCTTCAGTGTTTTATCTCTGCACTCAAACAGCTAAATGCTAAATACAGTATAGCCACGTAAGCGTCAGGCCGTGATCAGTTGATCAGGCGTGTAGGTAATAATTCACAAGAGAATTAACCTCGTCGACTACAACGGCACACCTATCACAGGTTCTCGCAATTATGTCGGTAAAGCTTTTAATTAAGCGGAATTCTCGTCGCTACGCCCCTTCCGTGTTATGGCCTAACACTGGCGTTGCAGCCAGGGGAAGCCTACGGGTATTAAATGCGCACTCTGAGTCGGTCAGACGAC